CAACCCCGCGAACCCCGCGGACCCCGCGGACCCCGCGGACCCCGCAAACTCCGCGGACGCTGTAAAACAATGCGGGCACCCAGTGAGGAAGGGCCGGCGAAACTAGCCCAGCTACCAGGCCATACCATCACAAGATCCCGCGTGGCCAGCTGACTTGACGCTGCCCAACAACAGCTGCCAGCCCTAGTGCCAGTACTATGTACACCAGAAAGAGTCCACGCCACATAGACCACAACAGTCCAAGCCACGGGGGGGCCCCCCCCCCCGACGAACAGAATCAACTCTTACAGGACCAAATTCAATGCACAATCCCAACTCCTGATTGTAATACAATTTTGCTAAAGCAAGGAGAACTCAGGTAGCTCAAGCTACCTTTCGTGACATGAGTTCTCCCCCACCAGTCATTTCATAGCCATTTCGTACCATGGCTCCAAATTAGGGAAAGAAAGAAAGAAAGAAAAAGTCAAATGAAAGTGCAAAGCACCAACCAGCAAATGAATCTTGGTCACCTGGCGAATGAAGGCACCAATTGGTCGGCACCCCCTCAAAGGTGCCGGAGGAGCCGACGAACATGCCGCGGAGTACAGGATCGAGGTAAAGCCTGGACTCTGTTCGGACTTGACGCGCTGCGTAACTGGAAATTCCCATGACCAAAACAACCTCTGACTCTGTGCAGGACCTTTTGGAGATATACGAAACTGCGAGTCGATCGAACACACCTTTTCTTTTCACCTGTTCAAAGAAGAAAAAGGTGGTCTTTCGAACATATTTTACGTTTTTGTTGGGGGTGTAAAAGATGAATGTTCCTTGACCACCCATGTCTATGGTCCATTTCTACTCTGTGGACTCCTCCGAAGACATCTCAAGGATCCCCTGCACCCCATCGACGCGTCCTGTGGCACCGGGAACCTCGATCTGTCATTCTGCTGGCTCAAGCCATGATGTCCAAGCTTGGGAAAAGTAGAGGGATCGATTATCGATACCAGGTGACCATTCATGTCTCCTCTTTTCGTTTCTTCACTTTGGGGCATCCCCTCTATATCATTTCTTCAAGAGGCCAAAAACCTCAAACGGGCTCGAGCCTGGCAAGTCTTGGGTGTTGGTGACCAAAAACCTCAAACCACTTGGAGATCGAAGTATTCGGAGACGACCACGGCAACGACTCCCTCGCAACGTCCACGGCATGTCCAGAGCGAGGCTAGGCGCCCGTGCCAGGTTCTCCACGCCTGGCACCGTGCACGACCACGCGCGTGCTCGCTCCGAAAAGCCCGGGTGAAGAAACGTGTAGTAGAAGAAGAGCTGCAGCAACTCTCTCGGACACGGTAAGATGATGAGCAAAGACTTTTGAAGTCCAGTCGTCCCCTTCAAACTCGAACAAGAATGGTTTTAGTAAGGGTGTGAGACTACAAAATTCCAGATGTTTTTGCCATCTTGTCACCAACATTCCAACGGCCCGCCATTCCTATAATGGTGTGAATCCCGAAGCACCAGCTGTTATTGAATGTTATTACTTAAGGATTTGACACCCTGTTTTCCATCATGTTTAAAACAGTCGACCCGACTTCCAGGGCGGTGGTTTTAGAGTAATTCGATGGCCAGTGCCCACCCCAAGATGTCTTAGACAAATGGTGGGTCCAAAAAGAAGACCAACCTTCCAGCAGTCACAGAGGGGTGCGATCCATGGAGGGTGCCGGAGTTGGGGTGCCCCTGTCACATCCACTCACGTTTTCGGGGACGAGCTACACCACCCAACTCCATGTGACACCAACCGACTGGGGGTAACTGGTGCCATCGAACCTCTCAATCCCGTTCCCCGGATGTCCCGCCGCCTCGTTGGAGGACGCCCATGTTCGTTGGCACGGCGCCTGCCCCGCGGAACCAGCGGCGACAGACCATGAACCGCCGTGACCGGTCACTGTGACAGTTCGGTCAGACGCAAAAGTGGAAAACGTCCTCCCCAGTGGAATCCGAGCTCCTTCACCCACAGAATCCGGGTTTGCTTCGGCCGAACCCCATTCCGCTGCGGTCCGACCCATGAAACAGCCCGTACGGATTCTCAGGGTCTACTTCGCACCTACCTCCAGCACCCGACTCTACAGGTGCTTCCTGGTGACAACAGGTGCCCAGAAACCACCTGTTAGGGTCTCCAAACAGCCTGTTGGAGGGTCCTGGCTGGTATACCTGTGATGTTTTGACATCATACGCAGCACGAACAGCACGCCTCATCGAACGATCGACAGCGGATCATTGAGACTGAAAGGGGTCAAAAGCGAACGACCCTTTGAAGCCATCCGTCACTTGTTTCTGCGCATCCAGGCATCCAGAAGCAATAGAGTCACTGCACCAAGTGGCACCAAGAGGCACCTGGCCCTTTGTTCGTGTTCGTTATAACCCTCAAAAAGCAGCACCAACGCCCTGCCCGCGCGGAGCTCGCCGGCACCGGAGCGGCCGGCCAAGCCTGCTCTTTGGCAAAGGGAGGATCTCGTGCCTGCCACGGGAAGCCAACCATGCGGGTGTCCAGGTAGATGGTTTCGAACTGGAAAATTTATAACTTGATCTTTGTGGAGCATGGGCTTGTTGGACAAGCCCATCAGGAGGCCCTCATCTCTCTCACGGGAACGTGACGGGTCTCCCCCCTGGCATGTTTAGCTGTCTACAACGAGGAAGCTTCGCATGGCAACAACACCCCCACCTCAATGCCCCCACTGCATCCCCCCCATTTGGCGGACAGTCCAGCCCTTTTCCATCTCGGTCATGGCGGGGGGGTCTGGGCTTACGCCACGTTGATGCTGGGCGCGGAGATCGGTAGGGGATCGTCGTAGCTGAAGGCAGAGTCGATGATCTGGACGTAAGTGAAAGCCTCGAAGGGACGAAGGCCAGACTAATACCCAGACGCGAAGTCTGGACCCTGCGTTCAGGGACCGGGGCCGTACCCGAATCCTTTGGAGGGGCCCGGACCCGAACCAATCCCTATGGTTTTGAGGGACCAAGGGCTGTTTAGAGCGTCTGGGTACAAGAAATCAGTTTAACTATATTCTGACCCTCGACATCAAGCAGTCTGCTCTACCAAGCAGTCCAGCAAAAAAAAACCTCGACCAGTCTAGCAACCAGCACTGGCTCCGCTTTCGAGACCGGGAGAATCACCCGAAGGTCGTGGGTCTACCTTCTCAAAGGGAGACCCACAACGCCAGGTGCCAAAGGGCCAGAAGGACATGACATGAAGGCTCGGTGCATGAAGGCTCGGAGTCCGGAAACAAGCCAGACGCGACGAGTCGACCGGGCGAAACTGGCCGAAGTGATACGTAGCAAGAAGCCAAATATAGTTCCTTGGGTGGCCGGGGGGGCCCTGAAAATGACATGAATAGAAGAGGAAGAATTGACGAAAGCAAACCGAATTCCGGTTGAACCGAAGGGATCTCCCTGCTTGCTTTTATTATACACCCTCCAGTTCCTGAAGTAAATGCAGTGGTTTCAGAGTAGATGGCACAATCCCCGATGTCAGTCTGTGGTTTATATCGACCCCTATAAAAAAAGAGATCCTTTGGTTTCCGCCATCTACTCTGAAACCACTGTAGGTAGCTTAGAGGATTCTTAAGCTTTCAGCGATCGATCCAATATCTACCGACTGGGTCGGATGCGAAAACAAACACCCCTTGACCAAGCTCATGACCAATGTTCATCGGCGACGATGGAAACACATCATGTCAGTCAGGTCCACAAAAGGAGAGGATCACATTGGACCACTACACAATATCCAATGAAAATTAAACTAAACTTAGAGACTACACGAGTTTCTTCGTGTGTACCCCCAAGGCTAGGTCTATGTACCTACCAAAAAAGCAACCAAAAAACACCATCACTTGAAAGGACGACGCTCTGCCCAGACCTGGTGTGTCGCTCCACACACCACTCCCTCTCCGCAGTCAAGGCAGTCAAGGCAGCATTGTGGTCCATGATTCCAGTGGCAATGCGGTAGTTGTAGTACGGCTTCCAGTAGGGACAACTGTCGACCTGGGGCCATCTGGGCAGTCCCGAAACCCTAAAAATCACATCCATCAAGGTATGGAAATGGCACAAGATTTGGAGGATCAACGATCCCAAATATGTGGGTGTCTCCTCTCAAAGGCCACGGGCAATCCGAGCCCCGTCCCTTCAGCCCCTTCCACTGCGACGGGTACGGTATGGCCTTTGATCCTACCCGAAGCATCATTGGACCCGACCACTTCTGAAGGGTTTTGACCCTGCATAGATAGCAGGGGCTTGGACCCGAAGCAAACCTTCACCGGCGGTTTGGGTCCTTGATTCTTAGGGTATCAAACTACAAGCTCAAATGGGTTCTACGTGAATCTGCGGCCAATCGAATCCGTTCCAATGTCGCAAACCGAGGCCACACAAGAGTTCATCAATTGATTCATCCACCTTCACCAAATGGGTCATACATGGTCATAGTGTTCACCCCTTCACCTCAATCGGTTGTTCAACTACAAACAAAGTGACCTGAACGATCGGATCCTTTTTGGGGATCTCCAGAAATGAGCCCAGACGCTCCGCTCACCGGGCCTTGGGTCCGGGTGCACCACCACGACCCGGTGACCACTCCAAGATGCGCAACCACTATCCACGGGTTCATCAGTACTGCAGCTGCCCAGGCGTTTGGCCACCCAGTTCTGCGCGGTTGGCCGCTGTCCGGCCACGGCCGAGGCAGGTTTTGCGGACCGCGGACCCGGGTCTCCGGAAGGTCTCCGACGCCCCAAAACCATGATCCCCGCCCTCGGTCGGGACGCTCGTCACGACGGTCGCGAACTCCTCTCCCGGCGTGCCATCGCTGGGACGAACGTCGACGTGCCTTGCTGTTCTTGAGATGTGTGAGCGTCTGTGCAGGCACCATGGCGTGGCGAATGACCTTGCGTCGCGAAAGGAACGGAGGATTCCTTGCACTGAGTTGCTGCAACCCTGTGTTTTCAGGTGTTTCTAATGGCACTTCTCGGCTCTTTGCTCCTGTCTACAGGCCAGGCAGGAGTCAACAAACCTCATGCTTTTGGTCAACAAACCTCATGTCGTTGAGTTGATCCTACAAGTTGAAGACGACTCCATGAGGTTCTGGACCAGGAGACTGGACCGAGGTCAGACGCCGACCGGTGCCGTGGGATGCATTGACCCAGCGTCCAAGGCGGTTGAGGCGATTGAGGCCCAGCGTTCCACTGGTGCTAGCCACTGGTTGTTTGGGGGGGCTATCCATATTGTTATCCAGTCCCCCAAAAAAACTCCGCTTCTTGGGAGTTGGGTGCTATCCACTGGTCACATCCAGAAGAAACCTGCCCGGGAAGAGACGGAGACCCATCGACCCGACTCCAAACCCGGCGAGCTCGGTGGCGAAGCGGGCGGAGCTCGGGGTTCTGAGTCCCCGAGCGTCTTCACCATCTTTGAATTGGCGCAACTGCGGTACCTCTCCCCCGACGGGCGATCGACGGGCTTCCGGGCTCGGCCCACCAAACCAGCCCACGCGGCCGTTGTTTCTTGACATGGTGTTCATCGTTTTATATCGTTTTGGTGTTCATCGTGGTTGGATCCCAAACAATCGCATGATATTTTCGGAATCCTTCACCTGACCCCTTGAAGCATCGATCGTAAACAACACCCCTTTCACCCTCGTCTCCTAGTCTCGGTCCAGCAGAGTCCCAACTGATTGGTAGTTGGGACCATGTCCAGCGAACCTTCTCACCTCGACCACGACCACCCGGTGGAGACGACCTCCCGGAGCCTCGGAACGACTCCGGACCCCAGTGAGACCCGACCCTCGCTTCGGGCGCCCGATCCTTCTCCAGACCCGGCTGGACCGGCTTTCAGCCGCCGCCGAACCATGTGTTTCGGTGTCCGAATCCTTCCCTACAAGTCAGTTGGACCTCATTTTACTGGGCCATGGTCATACAAAACCAATACTTAAGGAGGTCAAGTCGACCAGTTTTTACTGGGTCGGACTGGACTTGTAGGGCTTAGGTCCAAAACAAAAGATGACTCTTCGGAAGGACCCACTCCCTTCCGACCTTTTCGGGGACAAAAGAGCTCCGAACCGAAAACGGACGCACTGGACGACCGACTCCACGGTGACCACAGTGATTCTCAGACCCTGGGAGTCGGTCAGACTATAAAAAGAATGGTCTGACTAGGGGAACTGAAAGGAAACTTCCTTTACTCCAGCCGGTCAAAATATCGGTCGAACTGGACTTTTAGGGCAGAGGTTCCACAGTGATTCTCAGAGGTCGAACCAGGGGCGTCAATTCAACGGTGGCATCGACCCATCGACGGTCGATGACCCATGAGGACCCGGACTCCTCCCGTTTTTTCCGGTCCGGTCAAGAGACCGCTGTTTTCCAGCCCCCCCCCGCCGTGGCGCACGGGATCATCGATCGAGTAGAGGCGCTTCCCACGGCAACCCACATCCTGGAAGTCATGGGCGATCGGAGCCGTCACCCGTCACACAAGGGCGCTTCGAAGGCACGCAATCGCTCCCCAATGAACACATGGTATCATAGAACCCCAAAACCACGTTGGGTTGGCATTCGGACAATGGTCGAAGCCGGTGAATTCTCAGGCTCTTTGCCGAGCCACCGGAGGCTCACCATACCAGGCCACATTTTGCCCCATCGTGATCCTCGAGGAATCGCGCGCGGCACGAATAGGCTCCGTGCGGAGATCGATCTGGTCGGATGTGTGGTCTGATTTTCCGGCCATGGTGATCCCCTTACAGAGATGACTGTGGCACTCTTTCCAATACGTTCGAATACGGGGGGGACCTGGGGGAAATCTACGAACTTCTACTATCCATTTGGGGTCTATATATCTATAGCCTTTTGAGTTCAAGCTTTCTGTGGTCTGTGACCGCAAGCTATTCAAAGAAAATCTCGGTGACGCACATGTGACTTTAACTCAACTTCAATTTGTTCTCTCTCTCTCTCTCTCTCTGTCTTTGAACTTTGGGGTGTGGAGACCTTCAGCCGTCAAATCCAATTCCTTGATGCGGCTGATGAGACATGACGAGACATGACATGCGACACCGGGTTGCATTATGTTACATTGGAGGCAAGCAGCTGCTGGATGTTCAAATCCATATGCTCCCATTGAAAGACCTGAGTCACGGCATTGAAAAAAAAACACTTTTAAAAAAAACTGGTAGCGAAAGGATTCGAAAGGTACTTCACTGAACCCTCAAGTTGATGTCACTGTTCTTTCACAAGTGGCCCAGAACCGAATCTTCCAGACTCAAAGAAAGGCGACTGGATGAGCATCCCGTGTTTCTTCCAACGATGTCTGTTTTTCCACTTCAATCTTCGTGAGAACTCCCCAAAAAACGGATCTGTGGCTGACGACCTGCCCATCGACGGGCTGCTCACCCACGAGAAAAACACGCATCGCGCGGGACGAACAAGTCGATCAATCCCAGCGGCGGCGGCTAAGGCTGCACCAATGGAATGACCCGTGACGGTGATG